GCTCTCTCCCATCGTTGACTTCTCCCCCTCCCCCTCCCCCTCCCTTCCCCCTCCCCTTCCCCTTCCCCTCCCTTCCCCCTCCCCTTCCCCTTCCCCTCCCCTCCCCTCCCTCCCTCCCTCTAAGATGATGTGTAGGGAGAGCCATGCAGGGCTGCAGCGGCGGCAGCGGGGGCGGGGGCGGGGCGGGGCGGGGGTGGGGCGGGGCTGGATGGGGGCGGGGCGGGGCGGCGGGGGCGGGGCGGGCGCTCACCGGCCCAGGATGAAGGCGATGTAGACGAGCGAGGAGAAGTGGGCGAAGAACTGCAGCGTGAAGAACTTCACCGTGAACTTGCTCTCGCGCTCCGAGAAGGTCCGGGACTTCTCTGGGGGGCAGGGCTGTCACCTCCGTCCGGGGCGCCCGCCTGCCCCGCTCAGACCCTCCCCCTTCCCCCCCTCAGACCCTCCCCCCGCCTCCCTCCCCCTCAGACCCTCCCCCCGCCTGCCCCGCTCAGACCCTCCCCCCCTTCCCCCCTCAGACCCTCCCCCCGCCTCACTCCCGCTCAGACCCTCCCCCACCCTCCCCCCTCAGACCCTGCCCCCGCCTCCCTCCTGCTCAGACCCTCCCCCCCCAGACCCTCACCCCCCACAGTGTCCCCCCTGCCTCCCGGGGCAGGTGGCCTCTCACCGTAGTCACAGAGCTTCAGCGCCACGTACTTGTTGACCTGCAGGCCAGACGGGGCTCGCTGAGGGCTGGGGCCGGGGGCCAGGGCCGGGGCCGGGGCCGGGGCTGGGGCTGGGGTTGGGCCGGGGGCTGGGCCGGGGGCTGGGCCTGGGGCTGGGCCGGGGGCTGGGGTGGGGCTGGGCCGGGGCCGGGCCGGGGCTGGGCCGGGGGCTGGGCCGGGGGCTGGGCCTGGGGCTGGGCCGGGGGCTGGGCCGGGGCTGGGGCTGGGGCTGGGCTGGGGCTGGGCTGGGGCTGGGCTGGGCCGGGGGGGGGGGGGGGGGGCTGGGGCTGGGGCTGGGGCTGGGGCTGGGCTGGGGCTGGGCTGGGGCTGGGCTGGGGCTGGGGCTGGGGCTGGGGCTGGGCCGGGGCTGGGGCTGGGCTGGGGCTGGGCCGGGGCTGGGGCTGGGGTGGGGCTGGGGTGGGGGCTGGGGCTGGGGTGGGGCTGGGGTGGGGCTGGGCTGGGGGCTGGGGCTGGGGTGGGGCTGGGGCTGGGGCTGGGGTGGGGCTGGGCTGGGGTGGGGCTGGGCTGGGGCTGGGGGGGCTGGGGCTGGGGCTGGGGCTGGGCCGGGGGCTGGGGCTGGGGCTGGGCCGGGGCTGGTTTGGGGCTGCGGGCCCGCAGAGGCCCCCCCCCCTCCCCGCGCACCTTGGTCATGACGAGGATGGTGACGTAGTGCACCAGGGCCCCGGACACCACCACGGCCGTGGTCACCTGCTCCTCCAGGAAGGGCAGGGCGGAGCTGCTGAAGACGGCGGCGGCCGCCACCCGGTAGACCACCAGCACGTGCGCCATGCCGATCATGAGGCCGATCTGCGGGCGGCGGCAGAGGCGTGGCCGCCTGGGTCCCTGCCCCGCCCCCCCCCCCGCCCGGGTTCGGGGCGTGCATGAGCAGGGACAGGGCCAGGATGATGGTGCTCCCCCCCCCCCGCCCGGGTTCGGGGCGTGCATGAGCAGGGACAGGGCCAGGATGATGGTGCTCTTCAGGTAGGAGTGCTGGTGCCGCTGCAGCTTGTAGTCCGGACGTGCATGAGCAGGGACAGGGCCAGGATGAGGCCCCCCCGGCCCCGGGTTTGAGGCGTACCATGAGCAGGGACAGGGCCAGGATGAGGCCCCCCCGGCCCCGGGTTCGAGGCGTACCATGAGCAGGGACAGGGCCAGGATGATGGTGCTCTTCAGGTAGGAGTGCTGGTGCCGCTGCAGCTTGTAGTCCGGACAGTTAATGAGCTCCAGCGCCACCTCCTCCTGGGGACCGGGACCGCCCAGGCACGGCACACGCCTCAGACACGGCACACGCCTCAGGCACCGCACACGCCTCGGGCACCGCACACGCCTCGGGCACAGCACATGCCTCAGGCACCGCACACATCTCAGACACTGCACACGCCTCAGACACGGCACACGCCTCAGGCACCGCACACGCCTCGGGCACCGCACACGCCTCAGACACGGCACACGCCTCAGACACGGCACACGCCTCGGGCACCGCACACGCCTTGGGCACCGCACATGCCTCAGACACCGCACATGCCTCAGGCACGGCACACATCTCAGACATGGGAACACACGTCTCAGACATGGGAACACACGTCTCAGACATGGGCACACACAACATACATGAGCACGCGCCTCAGACGCTTGCACACACCTTAGACATGGGACATGCCTGGGTCACAGGACATGCACAGACACGGAACATGCCTCAGACATGGGAACACACCTCAGACGTGACAGAGGCCTCAGACACGGGGCACAGGCCTCAGACTTGAGAACACATGCCTCGGACACAGGATACAGGCATGGGCACACACCTCAGATGGGAGCACACACAGCACCGAGCAGGCGCTGGGTCACACCCCCTGCACCCCCTGCACCGCTTCACTCCCCCTCCCCCCCCCGCCGCCCCCGCCTGGTCTCACTCCCCCTCTCCCCCCCTCCCCCCCGCCGCCCGGCCTCACTCCTCCCCCCCCCCCCCCCCCGCCGCCCGGCCTCACCTGGTCCTCGTCCCACCCGTACAGGTGCCAGTGCAGCACCACGCGCGCCCGCTGCCGCTTCCAGAACTCCAGGAACACCGTGGCTGCGGGGGGGGCACAGGGGGGGCACAAGCGGGGGGGGCACAGGCGGGGTCACAGGGGGGGCGGGGTTACAGGGGGGGCACAGGCGGGGTCACAGGGGGGGCGGGGTCACAGGGGGGTCACAGGCGGGGGGGCATAGGCGGGGGTCACAGGCGGGGGGGCATAGGCGGGGGCACAGGCGGGGGGCGGGGGCACAGGGCGGGGGCACAGGCGGGGGCACAGGGTGGGGGCCGGCGGGGCAGAGCCCGGAGTTCACCCCGGGCGCCCGCAGCCACTCACCCCACAGGGCCATGAAGATGGCGAAGATGACGGTGCCCTCGTTGTCGAAGAGATGGGTGAGCTGGGCGAGGACAGCAGGATGGGCGCCCCGCCCCGGCCGCCCCGCCCCGCCGCCCCCTTCCCCCGGCCACCCCGGGCAGGAGCAGCGGGCAGGAACCCCGGGCAGGGCCGGGCCGGGCCGGGCGCACCTTGGCGAAGGTGCAGGTGTCCGAGAGGCGCTGGTACCCGCCGGCCGTGGTCGCCGCGCGGGCACATGTAGATGTCATGGGCCTCACAGATCTCCTTGCTGGGGCACAGGCGTCGGCTGGCACGGCTCTTCCCGGCCCCGGTCCGGCCCGACCCCCCCTCCCCGTCCTGACCCCCTCCCCCCGTCCTGACCCCACTACTCCCCGTCCTGACCCCCCTCCCCGTCCTGACCCCACTACTCCCCGTCCTGACCCCCTCCCCCCGTCCTGACCCCCCCTCCCCGTCCTGACCCCCTCCCCCCGTCCTGACCCCCCTCCCCCCGTCCTGACCCCCCTCCCCGTCCTGACCCCCTCCCCCCGTCCTGACCCCCCTCCCCGTCCTGACCCCCTCCCCCCGTCCTGACCCCCCTCCCCGTCCTGACCCCCTCCCCCTGTCCTGACCCCCCCTCCCCGTCCTGACCCCCTCCCCCCGTCCTGACCCCCTCCCCCCGTCCTGACCCCCCCTCCCCGTCCTGACCCCCTCCCCCCGTCCTGACCCCACTACTCCCCGTCCTGACCCCCCTCCCCGTCCTGACCCCCTCCCCCCGTCCTGACCCCCTCCCCCCGTCCTGACCCCCCTCCCCATCCTGACCCCCCTCCCCGTCCTGACCCCCTCCCCCCGTCCTGACCCCCTCCCCCCGTCCTGACCCCCCTCCCCGTCCTGACCCCCTCCCCCCGTCCTGACCCCACTACTCCCCGTCCTGACCCCCCCTCCCCGTCCTGACCCCCTCCCCCCGTCCTGACCCCACTACTCCCCGTCCTGACCCCCCCTCCCCGTCCTGACCCCCCTCTCCGTCCTGACCCTCTCCCCCCGTCCTGACCCCCCTGACCCTCTCCCCCCATCCTGACCCCCCTCCTCCCAATCCGTGACCGTCCACCCAGTTCAGTCCCCGCCCCCCACCACCACTTCTGGGGGGACCCGCCTGCCCCTCCCGCCCCATGGCCCGCCGCCCACCTGATCTGGCTGGCATTGAAGAGCGAGAAGCCGCTCAGGAACACGATGAGGCCCACCAGGGCGGCCGGCACCAGCATGTAGGTGTACCAGCCCAGCCAGGCGAAGTACAGGGCCACCTTCTCGCCAAAGTAGTTCCTGCGGGCAGAGCGCCCGTCAGACGCCCGCCAGGCGCATCCCAGCCAGTGCCAGGCGGGCATGGGGCGGCCAAGGAGAGTGAACTGACAGCACATTCGCTACGGGTACAGGGGTGTCTGTGGGGGCAGGTGTTTGTGGGCACATAGGGGTCTCTTTGGGGGTACAGAGTGTGTAGGGGCACGGGTGGGGCTGGGCTCAGGGGTCTGGGCACAGGATAGCTGTGATGGGGACACGGTGGGCTGGGGCAGGATCACCTGATGTCGTCGATGGGCTGCTCACGGAACATGTTCCTCCAGCGCGCCCACTTCCTCTGG